GCTAAGGACGAGCGAATGGCTCGCCGAGTGATGGGGAAGAAAAATGCTTCTGGAGGCGCTTGAAAGTGTTGTGCTCCTTTCAAGTGCAAATATAAGGATAGTATAATGGCACAAGTAAGGGTGTCGAACCACAGGGACTGATTAGAACTCTACAAATTACTAGCTTTATGTGAACCCTCACTAATAATGAAAATGAAACTAAATTTAGATTTTTGTTTTGGAAGCTAAAGTAACGTAAAATGCAAGAGAATGTAAGTATGAATAATATAATGATTCAGAAACGATGGGTATGGAACTAGGGATACCGATTTCACCATTACAAGCCAATTCCATGAAATTAAGTCAAAACGCATTCAACTCTCCAATCTGCAACTAGGGTTTGTTTTACTTATTTATGATCATCCATTTGATGTGTGGTTGTAATCAAGTACTCCTAATCTGCAACCTAGTTGTGATGTTCAACTTAGATTACCAAATAAGAATCCATTAAGAACAAGAAAACTTCAAAGAACCAAAGAAATCACATGGCAGGATGTATGCATAGCAGTTTCTTCATTCATTCACATGTCTACCAAGATTAAGCATGATGTGTACTATAACCTTGATCGAATAATTCATAAGTCCTAATGGTGATTAAACATTAAGATTAACAAACAAATTATACTATAAAATCAGTGAATGAAACAAGAACACATATTGGTAATTTGAGTACTTTAACTTGATAACATAGAGTAGGTTTGCAAGGCTACATCGAATTCCCCAGCTATGAACTTAATTACACAACATGATTACAAAATATATAAAAATCAAGAACAACATGAGTAAAATTAAAGTTCATAAAAGAAATCCCCTTGAAGCAATTCTGATGTTGAACTTCTCCAAGAGTAGCGCGGCTGCATGGTTTCTTTGGTGACTGCCGATGGTGAATGGAGAAAGGATTTTGTTTGTGGAAGAAAGGCTAAAGAAAGAGAAGAGAGAGAGTTATGGGCGTCCTCAAGGGGAAGCTTTTATTAAAAATGGTTGAAACTCTCAGTTTTATAAGGTTAAAAAGGCTGTTACAGATTGCCAATACATCTCTGTATTTGGGCATTTAATTCCTATGTTTTTTTTTGCTGTTATTGGTCTTATAAAGAGCCATATTCATCACCATATTCAGTTTCCACTTTTAATTCTTTGTCTACATCAACATCTTTATTCAATTCTCTACTTTTAGCACCATTTTGCCTTATTTGTCCACAACTGAGCTCCAAAATATGATTAGCTGCACACTAACACAAAAGAGGGTAAAATGCAACGGGTGGTACAAATGTATGAAATATATGAGTTATCAGAAAGCTGCCTACTGATCGGGGCTCTAGTAGGGTTGGACCGAGTGCTCATTCTTCTTGCGGTTAGGACCATTTGGCAGGTGTGTTGCCACTAAGTTCCCCTAGCGCGATAGTTAAGGCATGTCAGCCTTAATCTCGTGTAACCCAAGAAGACGTGTTTTAAAGAGATAAATGCCTCATGTTTGTCTGTAAGGGGTATTGGAAAGTCAAGGCGGGTCAACCTTAATCTTTGCTAAAGACGGGACCACTAATAAGCAGGTGGCTTTAGCATTCAACCTTCAAGCGGGAGTAAGTACTTTTCATACGTTTTGTGTTGTTTTCTTCTTCACAGATGATTGATTTCTTATTTGCAGAGATATTCATTGTCATTTCTTTTGCATGTTCTGTTTCCCTATTATAGGGGCCTCAAGTAGTTTTTCAACGAGAAGAAGTAGAACGCTCGTCACGAGCAGGCTATGTAACAACTGAAGGGGCCTTTAAAAGCAAATAAACTTGAACTCAGGTCATACACCAAGGCAGTCAAGCTCTCTAAGAAGGAAAATGCTCGGTTGCAACAAAAGGTCGAGCTTTGGAGAATGAATTGAGTGAGGCTGCCTCGAGCAAGCTCCAAACCATCCTTGAGCTAGGTACGGTAAATGACTTCGCTCGAGCCCTGAGAGAAGAGAATGAGCACCTTTAAAAGGCCTTGAACAACCATCTTCAGTAGCAATCTTGACATGGATTATTTTCTGCAAACTTCCGATGATATTGACTTTTCCGCCAAGCTTCGTCTTGAAGGGTGATAAACTTCTACAAGAAGGTCAAGATAATCTATCTTGGGTACGACTTAGATGTCAAGAACGATGATAAGAGGCCCAAGGAGCAGACCATTGATGAGGAACTTGTCGTTGAAGAGGAGTTTGTCATCACTGAGCCTTCCTCACAGCAATTACAAAAATGCACTACCAAGCTTTCCGCACAGCAATCACCGGAGCCGACTAGGATGCAGCTAGCCGACTAAGCAGCCAATATTTTTTAGCGTGACACATTGATAAATACTTAATTGGTCATTATTTTTACAAGTTTTTCTCCTAATCTTTGTTGCTTGGTTTCTTTTGTTTTTGTGTCACTTATGTTAATTTTTGTATTTTGTAAGTCAATTGGTACAAAAGGAGATAAAAGAAGAATTCTTGAAAAAATTGAATGCAAGTTTGGTCAAGTGCTGGAATATAGTTGTGTAGATACGTCAACTAGAATAATTTGTGGAGAACAGCTCAGAACAAACTAGGTGGTGAGCCATATATGGATGGAAAGCTCTGAGTGTCTAGTTTTCGTAAAATTTTAAGGTTCATGATTTCAAGGTCTGAAGAAAAGTTCAATAATTTTTTGTTATTGCTACTCAGTCATAGATTTTACATGAGTTTATGATGATACTACGATATTAGACGTGACTGACTTGTACGGCGGCAACACTTTCAAGTTACGAGTCGATGCTATTGAAATATATTACACATGTGCTGATCAATGTGGGCTTAAAAGATATTTACTTATTTTAATTAGGGTTACTTAAGTGTTTTGGAGTCCAAATAAAGCAAGGAAGAAAGATGGATTTAACCCTAATTTTGGGGCAGTTGTTTTGGCCACAAAAAAAAAAAAAAAAACACAGACGGCTGCAATTCAAAAAATTGGGGAAAGCTGCGTGACTTGCATGAGAGAGGTTAGGAAGGCTGCCATTTATTCCATTCATGTTCAAGACATTAGTTCTTCATCAAGTATCAAGCATTTCTTCATCTTCACAACATCACTTTTTGTTGTGTCCTATAAGTCATCATCTTCTGGCTATGCTTGTATAATGTTTTGCTTATGTTGTTGAACAATTTTCTTTTGTATTTTATTTTTATGTCTAGCTAAACCTCTCAGGATGAAACACTTGATTTAGTTTCTCAATTTCAATGCGAACTTGATGCAATTTTCATATTTGTGTTCTTGAATCTCTAAACGTAATTTATCATTGATTATTAAGGGTTTGATGCTTAGCTACCATTATTCCATAGATATAATTGTGTTTGTTTGTGTTGAGTGATCATCTTGCCTTACATAAAAGCACAACAACTTAGAGATTGCATATGCATATGAGCTAGACCTAGACTTGTATGGTGTGTATGTTTATCGTTTCCAAAGAGCTTAACGGATTGTTGGATGTTAAATTAGACCTTGACCATAGGCTAGTTGCATACAAAAATACTTGACTCTTACCATAACCATTGGGAGAAACCATATTTAAGGGAAACAATTGCAAATTGAGTTGGACCAAGACCTTTCTGTAGGTAAACTTGAAGTATTAAATTTAGAACTGTATGAATGGAGCATTGAGTTGAGAAGCGTATGATTGAGTGTGAATTCTGAAACCTTAGGCTCACCATCTATAGATTAAAATCCTAATTCATTACAATCATTCATTCATTGTCGTGTTTTATTTCTTTCTTTTACTATCTTGTTTCGTTGGTTTTCTTATTTGCTTATCAATCAACCAAATTGTGATTTTTAGTTTAATGCTTTAGTGTTTAGTTGAGTCATAATACGAAAATAAAATAAAAAGAGTCATTGTTTGTACTTTTGAGTTGATAGTTATTATTTTTGCTTAAATTTATCTCGTTTCTGTGGGATCGACTCTTGCTTGTCATTATACTATCTTATTTGATTCATATACTTGTGAGGTTTAAATTTGTGTTTAGATTTGATATTTTTTAACAGTCTAATTATTCACACCAAGTTATTGGTGCCGTTTCTAGGGACGGTGGTTGTGTTTAAGTATTTTAATTACAAGTCAACTTATAAGTGTCAATTTTTGTCTTTACTAACAGTTTTTATATTCACGTAGCATCTAAATCTATTTTAAAACACCAATTCTAAACTGTTTACATATCTCTGGAAAGCTCTGGAAGTCTAGTTTCCAACCCAAAAAAACACGTTGACATTTCGAGTTTCAAGCAGGCAGATATAGTCAAAACAGTGTGCTGTGGTCAAAACTGTTTGGGATTTGTTTTTCCTTCTCTTTAGTATTTCTAATTCTATTTAGTTTAGTGTGTTAGCTTTATATTTTCTTTTTATTCTGAATATTTGGCTGTATTGTTAGGTTGTTTTTATTATTTTGTAGACATATAAATTTCTCAAGTTTTCCTAAGGTATATGCAAGGGAGATGATCGCTCAAACTAGCATTTCTTCCAGTTGATCAATAACTTGAGTGCACTCTACACAATCTAAAGAGGCAGATGAGTCATCAAACTCTTGTAAAAGAGTTAAAGATGGGTGATCGAGAAGTTGCACCTGTCAAAAGGCCTATGAAGGATTCATATGAACCTCAACACTTGAATCAACCATCATGCATTGCTTTTCAACCAAATATCAATGGGAACATGAACTTGTCACCTCATTTATTGAATACATTGCCTCACTTTAGCAGGGACACAAATGAAAATCCACATCTTCATATAGAGGACTTCTTTGATATTTGCAAGACGCAAAGCATTCAAGGGCTTACCTCTGAACAAATCAGGTTGATTTTATTTCCTTTTTCACCAAAATCTAATGCTAAGTTGTGGATGAACTCTTTGGATGCAGGTTCTACACATTCATGGGAGCAACTTGCTACGAAGTTCTCAAAGGAATTTTTCCCGGCTCAAAAGATCAGAAAACTAAAAAGGGAAATCCAATACTTCCAATAAAAAGATGGTGATTTGTTCTTTGAAGCTTAGAAAGACTTCAAGAGCCTCATTTTCAAATGTCCCAAGCATAATCTCACAAGGGGTGAATTGGTAGAATCTTTTTATGAAGACTTAAATAATACTAACAAAGGTATTGTAGATTCAGCTGTTGGTGGAGTTTTGATGGAGAAAATTGGAGAAGAAGCATTCCAGTTGCTCGAATCTCTTAGTGAGAACTCACAACAATTCTCCACGAGGAACAAGACCGATGATAGAAGAGGAATTTATGAGATCAATTCAAATGATGGCTTGCAAGTAAAGATCACATCTATGAATCTAAGTATTGCAACGCTAGTCAAGAACTTGACTCCTCACTCAACAAGTCCATACACCTGAAATATGTGCTATATGTTCATATCCTGATCACAATACTGATTCATGTCCTTTAACTTCTTTTACATATCAGAAGCATGCGAATTATGTTGGACAATGAGGCTATTCTTCTAAGAATAATCCATATTCAAACAAGTACAATCCATCATGGAGGCTTCATCCTAACTTCAGTTATGGGAACTTGTAAAATATATTGAATCCTACACATGGTGGTAATGTACGAACTCAAGATTTTGGTTCAAATTCTACTCAGCAAGTTAGTGCATCTCAGGTTCCTATAGGGTTTTCTCAGCCTAAGAAAATGTCATTCGGAGACCAATTATCTGCTCTTATGCAAAGCCAACTCTTTTTCCAACAATAAACTCAGAGCTTTATACAAAATACTCAAACTTCTATTAAGAAGTTAGAAACTCAGGTGAGGCAACTTGCTAGTGCTTTTAATGAAAGGGAAAAGGGTCAATTTCCAAGTCAGGTTGTGTTGAATCCGAATGATACTCAAGAGCCGACCAAGTTCATTATTAGACTTTGCAATGATTGAGTTGTTGGTGATATAGTTAATAAGGCAGTCCATGTTGATGGAAGTAAAGCTATTGAAAATGAAAACAAGTCAAAATCAATTGAAGAAGGCATAATTGCAGCACCTAAGGAAACTGGACAAACATTGGCAGCAACTTTCCGTGGTTTTCCTAGCCTAGTCGTGAACTCTAGTAGCTTCTCTAGCTCATCTGTGAAGGCATATGTACCTCACATTCCATATCTAGGCTGTTTAAAGGCTAGTAAGAATTCTAAACATATGCTTGGCATCCTTAAGCAATTCAAAAAGGTAGAGTTTAATATTCCTTTGCTTGATTAGATTAAATAGATTCTGAGTTATGCCAAATTCTTGAAAAACCTTTGTACCAACAAGAGGAAATTTGAGGAACATGAAAGATGATGCTTTTTGAAAATGTTAGTGTAGCGATTCAGGGAAAATTGCCTCCAAAGTTGAGAGATCCTGGAAGCTTTACTATTGCATACACCATTGGGAAACAAAACTTTGAAAAGGCATTACTTGATCTTGGTGCCTCAATGAATCTCATGCCTTATTCTGTATTTAAGCAGCTTGGTATCAATGAATTAAAGCCTATTTCAATGACTCTACATCTTGTAGTCAAATCAATTAAGTATCCACGGGGAATAATTGAAGATGTGTTAGTTTAGGTTGATCAATTTGTGCTTCCTATAGATTTCATCATTCTTGGTATAGAGGATGCTCATGCACTAAGCCATGACCTTCCTTTGATCATGGGGCATCCTTTTATTGGTACATCAGGTACAATGATTGATGTAAACAATGGCTTACTCAGTATGACTGTTCATGATATAACTGTGGAATTTAAAATCTTTAAAGCTACTAAAAGTCCTTTTGATTCTTATGAGTTTTTCTAGGTTGATATATTTGATCATTTAGTTAATTCTGAGTTTCTGATCAGCAGCTATAAAGACCATTTGAGGCATGTATGAATAGCCCAAACAAGGATTTTGAACTTCCAAGTGAAGTCCTTGAAGCACATCAGTACATGGAAGCAATTCCTAAGTATTTCAAGCATTGGGAGCCACATTTTGAGCCCCTTGTAGGCTTTCCTTCTAAGCTAGAACCATCAACCTCAGTTCTTCCTAAGCTTGAGCTTAAACTTTTGCCATGTTATTTAAAGTATGTCTATCTTGGTGAGAAAGAAACGCTTCCAACTATCATTGCTTCTTATTTATCTAAAGAGGAAAAAGAGAAACTTTTGAGAGTTCTGAAAGGGATCAGCCATTTAAAGTGTATGTATCGAATCTTATTGGAAGAGGGTTCAAGACCTATCCGTGAGCTTCACACAAGATTAAACCTATACTTGAAAGAGATTATGAGAGCTAAAGTGTTGAAACTTCTCCATGTTGGTGTAATATACCCCATCTCTGATTCTAAATGGGTTTCTCCAGTTCAAGTAGTGCCTAAAATGTCTAGAATCACAGTTGTGAAGAATGAGAATGATGAATTGATTTTGCAAAGAACTATAACAGGTTAGAAAGTATGCATAGATTGTAGGAAGACTAATGGAGACTAGAAATGATCATTTTCCTTTGCCATTCATTTATCAGATGCTTGAAAGACTAACAGGACATGCATATTATTGTTTCTTAGATGGATACTCGGGGTACAACCAAATTTCTATTGCACCATAAGACCAAGAAAAGACTACATTCACATATCTGGTTGGTGCATTCGCATATACAAGGATGTCATTTGGCCTTTGTAATGCACCCACTACATTTCAGTGGCGCATGATGAGCGTATTTTCTAGACCTGGCATTCGTGTCGTGTTTCTCGTGTTCGTGTCGTTTTCGTGTCATACCCGATAGCTTAATGGGTCGTGTCGTGTAATACCTGTTAAAGTAAACGGGTAATATGACCCGACCCGAAATCAACCCGTTAATATTATCAGGTAATATGACCCGACCTGTTACCCGTTAAGAAAATTATATTTTAAATCAATAAAAATGAAAAGAAAAACATAATTTGACCCAAAAAAATGTAAAACATAATACTAAATTAGTATATACATACTAAATTTCGGAGTTGACCCCTTAATGAAAGTTGTAAAGCTTTTCATTACGAGTGATCACATTTTTCACACTTATTATTATTAATTTTTCACTCAAATAAATAACATTGTTCATGAGATTTGGAGGGTTTTACAAATCTACACTTATTTATACTTTCATCAAGTATAACATAAGATTTTATGGTATCCACTAGTGTAAATATTTTAAATTGAAGATCGAATTCATTCATTGTATTCACATAGGATCAATGAGTGTAGCTATAAAAAATCATCAAAATCGGAGTTAAAATAACCGTTAAATCGTAATTTTTTGTTTATAACCGTCGAAAAGTTTTGTCTCATTACTTGATCTCTGAATGTTTATTTTTTTGCAATTTTTGGCGTATGCGATCTCGAAGCATATATAAACAAGTTTGACGGTTGGATCATTGAAATTAGTTTCGTAGGATGTGTATCCCATCAAAACGATAGATTCACTAACACTTAAGAGTTTATTTATACTTTCATCAAGTATAACATAAGATTTTGTGGTATCCACTAGTGTAAAAATTTTAAATTGAAGATCAAATTCATTCATTGTATTCATTTAGGGTCAAGGAGTGTAGCTGTAAAAATTCATCAAAATCGGAGTTAAAATAACCGTTAAATCGTAATTTTTCGTTTATAACCGTCGAAAAGTTTTGTCTCATTACTTGATCTCTGAATGTTTGTTTTTTTTGCAATTTTTGGCGTATGCGATCTCGAAGCATATATAAACAAGTTTGACGGTTGGATCGTTGAAATTAGTTTCGTAGGATGTGTATCCCATCAAAACGATAGATTCACTGACACTTAAGAGTTTATTTATACTTTCATCAAGTATAATATAAGATTTTGTGGTATCCACTAGTGTAAATATTTTAAATTGAAGATTGAATTCATTCATTGTATTCATTTAGGGTCAAGGAGTGTAGCTGTAAAAAATCATCAAAATCGGAGTTATAATAACCGTTAAATCGTAATTTTTCGTTTATAACCGTCAAAAAGTTTTGTCTCATTACTTGATCTCTGAATGTTTGTTTTTTGCAATTTTTGGCGTATGCGATCTCGAAGTATATATAAACAAGTTTGACGGTTGGATCGTTGAAATTAGTTTCGTAGGATGCGTATCACATCAAAACGATAGATTCACTAACACTTAAAAGTTTATTTATACTTTCATCAAGTATAACATAAGATTTTGTGGTATCCACCAGTATAAATATTTTAAATAGAAGATCGAATTCATTCATTGTATTTGTTTAGGGTCAAGGAGTGTAGTTGTAAAAAATCATCAAAATCGGAGTTAAAATAACCGTTAAATCGTGATTTTTCGTTTATAACCGTCGAAAAGTTTTGTCTTATTACTTGATCTCTGAATGTTTGTTTTTTGCAATTTTTGGCGTATGCGATCTTGAAGCATATATAAACAAGTTTGACGGTTGGATCGTTGAAATTAGTTTCTAAGATGCGTATCCCATCAAAACGATAGATTCACTAACACTTAAGAGTTTATTTATACTTTCATCAAGTATAACATAAGATTTTGTGGTATCCACTAGTGTAAATATTTTAAATTGAAGATCGAATTCATTCATTGTATTTATATAAGGTCAAGGAGTGTAGCTGTAAAAAATCATCAAAATCAAAGTTAAAATAACCGTTAAATCGTGATTTTTCATTTATAACCGTCGAAAAGTTTTGTTTCGTTACTTGATCTCTGAATGTTTGTTTTTTGCAATTTTTGGTGTATGCAATCTCGAAACATGTATAAACAAGTTTGACGGTTGGATCATTGAAATTAGTTTCATAGGATGCGTATCCCGTCAAAACGATACATTAACTAACACTTAAGAGTTTATTTATACTTTCATTAAGTATAACATAAGATTTGTGGTATCCACTAGTGTAAATATTTTAAATTGATGATCGAATTCATTCATTGTATTCATATAAGATCAAGGAGTGTAGCTGTAAAAAAATCATCAAAATCGGAGTTAAAATAACCGTTAAATCGTGATTTTTCGTTTATAACCGTTGAAAAGTTTTGTCTCATTACTTCATCTCTGAATGTTTGTTTTTTTCAATTTTTGGAG